AACTAAGCGCTCCTCATCCCCCTCCCAAAAAGACCCTGCACCCTATCTCCCACCCCAGACTCCCCACACACAGCCCACGCCTGCAACTAATCTCTCAGCCAGACCTCCCCTCCCTGCTCCCTCCTGCACCCATTTTGTCATCATGGGTGGTTGGCTGGTGGTCCGCAGGAAAGTTGGTGGGCCAAAAAGTTTGAGAACCACTGGTATAGAGTGACAGTCACCCTGCTAACTCCTCCATTGGAGCTAGTGAGCCCATTGAGTTTGACTGCAGGGGTGAATCAATAAAACAGAGAGACAAGGAGGTTGTTAGGTGGCAAAGGAGAAGGCTCTTGCACCAGCAGCGACACGGTTGTGAAAAGGGAGGCTGGTGCGGAAGATATGAGCCTTAGGACAGGATGGGGACAATTCGGAGGGCGTTAAAATCCTTGAACTGGGGCCTGAAATGAATCCCAACCTGACTGTGTCTGAGGGTGAAGATGATTCGGCCCCGTTCTTCCCCTCTCCAGTGGGAGTGGCCGTCTGCTCCCACCAGAGCCTGATGCTGGGACTCATGGAACAGGGCACTGCAGTAGCCATGGTGAGTAAAACGCAATGAGAATGGGGAGAACTGTGGGAGCCAAGTGGACATGGCCCATGCTGCAGAGCTCGTGCAGGGCGGAGGTACCCACGGGGGCAAGTGATGGAAGAAGCAGTGGTCGGGGCTGGAGCGATGCTGTGGCCAAGGCGAGCTGAGACCAGGGAAGAGCTGTGCCCAGAAGGGTGTCGAGGGAACAGCTCTATGCCACCCTCTTGCCCAGGAGAAGCACTTTTGTCTCCAGGCCATTTTGTAAAACAAAGTTGAGCTGAAAGCACATCTCGGGGGAGGGGGGGGAGGAATGGTGCCTGGGCAGTCCTGGTTGCTCCTGGAGCAGGGACAAGCCAGTTCAGCTCAGGGCTGCACACACGTAGGCTGGTCATAATAGCCCAGAGGGGAGGTGATGATGACTAGAGATAACCAGAATGCTCCGGCTCCATGGATGCTCCAAACAAACAAACAAAATTGTGGCTGCTCAGCACCCAGTGACAAACCTGCAGATCTGCCCCCCCTTTCCTCCCAGTGCCTCCTGCCCACAGCAAACAGCTGTTCAGTGGGGTGCAGGAAGCTCTGGAGGGGAGGGGGCAGAGCAAGGACAGGAAGAGGTGGAGGTGTGGGGGAAGGAGTGGAATGGAGGAAGGGGTGGGGGTACGGACAAGGGGTGGAGTGGGAGCAGAGTGCAGGAACAGAGGAAGTCAGCACCTATGGGTGCAATGGCCACCCCCAGCCCTTCTGGGCACACCCTCACACCAGGGTTTATGTAGCGTTGGCCCACCCCACTCTGGAAAAAGTGAATAAGGAAAAGTGATTTACTTGCTCCCATAACAAAAGAACTAGGGGCCACCAAATGAATAGGTAGCCAGGGGTGGGTAATAATCCTTGATGGGGGGCCACTCCAAGAATTTGAAAAGTGGTCGAGGGCCGCTGAACCCTGCGTACAGACGTGGTCGCCTCATCTATGGGTGCAATGGCCACCCCCAGCCCTTCTGGGCACACCCTCACACAAGGGCTTACAGGGTTTATGTAGAGTTGGCCCACCCCACTCCAGGGTTCCCTTGCATTGTGGGAATCCCCATGTAACTGCAGATAACAAGGCCGCATCACTTCTTGTGCCTGCAAGAGCTAACCTGGCCCCAAGGAGGAGAGATCTGAAGGCTAGAGAATAAGACAGAGAATATTTGATTGTCTCTGTATAAATCCATGGTACGGCCACATCCTGAACCCTGCGTACAGACGTGGTCGCCTCATCTCAAATAAGATACAGTGGCATTGGAAGAGGTTCAGAAAAGGGCAACTAAAATGAGGAGGGGTTTGGAACAGCTGCTATATGAAGAGAGATCCAAAGACTGGCACTTTTCAGCTTAGGAAAGAGGAGACTGAGGGGGGATAGATAGAGATCTCTAAAATCATGAGTGGACAAGGTGTGGGATGGGGGCAGAGTGCAGGAACAGAGGAAGTCAGCACCTGTGGGTGCAATGGCCACCCTCAGCCCTTCTGGGCACACCCTCACACCAGGGTTTATGTAGCGTTGGCCCACCCCACTCTGGAAAAAGTGAATAAGGAAAAGTGATTTACTTGTTCCCATAACAAAAGAACTAGGGGCCACCAAATGAATAGGTAGCCAGGGGTGGGTAATAATCCTTGATGGGGGGCCACTCCAAGAATTTGAAAAGTGGTCGAGGGCCGCACTCTTCCCTGTTAATGGGGGAGCTGCGGGGGTCTGGGATGGAGGTTGAGTGCAGAAGAGAGTTTGGGGTAAGGGAGGGAGCTTGGGTGAAGAAGGCAGTTGTGACCTGGGGCACTGGATGGGGTGCAGGAGACTGGACTGTGACCTAGGGCTGGGAATTGGTGTACAGAAGGGGATGTACGGATTTGGGTTGTGACCTAGGGCAGGAGGGGACCGTGATCTGGGACAGGGGATTGTGGTGCTGGATCTGGGAGGGGAGATTTAGTTATGTGGAGTGGGGGGCAGAGAGTTGGGAAAGGAAGAGGCTGGGCTGCCAGAGGCAGGGTCTGGCCAGGAGACTCACCAGCCAGCAGCCCCCCTGCAAGATGGGGTGGCAGCCCAGCTTCACAGGTGATTAATCAGTCCTGCCCAGTCAGAGGCCCAGGGCTCCCTGCCCAGAGCTGACTGCCTGGGCGGGGCTGATTAATCACCTGTGAAGGGCGGGGCACTGGTGCTTGTCCCTGCCCAGGCCACAGCCATGAGCCCCTTGTGCTTTGTGGTGGCCTGTTATTGAAACAAGCAGCTCCCATTGGCCAGTTTCTGGACACGATTCTGAGTGACATGCAGGTGAGGCAAGTGGAGAGCCTGCCTTGGGCTCCCTGCCATGTCTCTAGAAACCAGCCAATGGGATTGTGCTGGGGGCGGGAGCAGCTCCTAAAGCGTTCCCCCTCATGGTTTTTAAAGAAAAACTGCCCGCAGCCATGTTTCTGAACAGCGTGCGGTTGGGGCGAGGCAAGCGGGGAGCCTGCCTGGGCCTCCCTACAGCGTCTGTGGGCCGGATTTGGTGGCTTGGCAGGCTGGATCTGGCCCACAGGACATGTTTTGTGTGGGCCTGAGGTAGCAGGTTTAAAACAAACCAAAGGAAGTTTTTCTTCATGCAGCGCACAGTCAACCTCGATTCTGAGTGACATGCAGGTGAGGCAAGTGGAGAGCCTGCCTTGGGCTCCCTGCCATGTCCATGGGCCAGATCCAGTGGCTTGGCCGTCTAGAAACCAGCCACTGGGATTGTGCTGGGTGT